AGTGATACTGAAAAAAGTACATTTTGACTTCATTAAATACGTTCTAAGGGTTAGAAAGTGCACAAATACACTGTACTGCCATGATTTATGTTGAAACTGGAGGATTTCGATGAAAATTATTCGCATTTTTCCTATTTTTTAATTTTGTTCAAACAGTATTATTTAAGAAAGTCAATACCTCCTCTTCTTAAGAAACAAACGAGTAGAATGTCTTCACATAACCTTGCAACTGAAACTGAAATATTGTATGAAACGAAGATTTTGTGAATTTTGTAAAACCAATATAGAAGATGAATTTCTTTTTGTTTTGATTTGTCATGAATTGAGAGGTAAATACATGTATATTAAAAGGTATTGCTGGAAAAAAAACATGCGCACATAATTAAATTAATACAATTACCGAGTGTCCAAAATTTTTCTGAGCTTTGCAATTTACTGGGGAAAAGAGGGTGTTGCAGAAACTCGAGATTATTCCCTAAGTCGGGAAGGACATTTAAATACCCACGACGCATGAAGAGTTATATCTAAATATAGATAATGCTATGTAGATGACTTTATTTATACGACGGGTATGTCCAGCTTGTTATAACAAAACATTTCACATTTTACGTTTATTTCATGCATAGTTTTTCCTAACATAGACCGGCAACCTGTTAGGAAAGTTTTTTTCACATCTATAATCACTGTCGCCATATTGCAAGAGAAAAGTTTGAGCGATAAAAAGCACAATTAAAATAGCAAGTGCATCTTGCATATCATTTTGAAATTAAAGATGTACTGTAGACAGCGTGTGTTAATATTTTTCAGTATATAAAAATGTGTCCAATAATCACGCTGTTGATGCAATATCCAAGAAATTCCATTGGGTCATTTCAATTTAGTTGTTTCAAGTTAAATCTGAGCCACTAATAAACAGAACAATAATGAAACAAATAAGTATGAAAAAGTTGGATTATTTAAAATGATAGTACCTTATTTTTTAAGACATCGCCACTAAATAATAACATTAAATGTATGTCTTATTAGTTTTAGATCACAATATCAATGAAAACAATTTAATTCTGCTTGCATTTAAAATATTACCCATTAACTTTCTGACATTCTCTCCCTCTCTCTTTCTCTCTCAAGAGAGATGTTACATTACACATACTTCCATTATATAAGAAAAAATATGTATCAAGAAAAAAATATGTATGCCATTCCAGGATTCGAACCCATTCTCAGGTAAAAGAATCTTCTCATAGAGTCCACAGGCTTTACCACTAGACCAGCTCCGACACTGAGGCATCCATTGCTATTTTATGTGCACGTTTTGTATTCTGGATGGATATAATAATTTTTATTCGATTTTTGTGATTTTCAAAAATATGCCTCTTTGAAACAAAAATCGGAAATGGCAGTTTTGAAGAAAAATTCTGTCTCTTTTTTGCGTATATCTAATTCATTCTGTTTCAAGGAGGCAATTTTTCAGAACAATGGGGATTCCCTGTTTGAAAAACAGAAAACTTGACTTATTTTGCTACGTGACTATTTACACCTTATTTAATGACAAATTGGAAGTCGATATGCAGTTTCTAAATATTGTTCTACATTGTGCTGTATATACAAATATCTGAAAAAAAATTTAAGACCGTTTTCTGTTACTTAAAATTTTTCTTTTATACTGCTACAACTTTAGGGAAATGACAAAAGAACTGCAACACCCTTTTTGTACATTTAGCTTTAAATTTAAGAAATGGAAAAAAAATGTGATCTATTCTTCGTGTGTCCTATCTGTTTACTTTGTGCATGACGTATGTACTATATATCATGTATAGAAGCGTCATACCATACAAATTTGTTCTATTATATAAATGTATTCGCTGTTTATCCCGAACAGAAATGTCTGTACCATACTAGCTTTTCTCTGTACAAATGTTAATACGTGTACATATATGTATTAACAAATAAAGAATGACAATAACAAAGTATAAGAGTTTTACATGTCAAGAAAAAAAATTAGTAACAGTAATTTTGAACGTATATTTACTGTATATAATGCATTTACATTGTACTATATTTATTACCAAGGAGGCAGGTTTATACTTTGACAGGTTGAGAGATTGTTTAAGGGAAGGGTTACACATTGTATGTTGTACATTGTATATTATATGTGTATGTTAATTGCACTCAATCATGATGTTTTTAGCTAAAATGTGTTTCATTGCTGTTTCCAGCAACCGCTACCTGATACAGAAAAAATATAGAAAAAAAATATGGAGTAAAAATCATAATTTCTTTTTCGATTTGCCACTTTTATATTTTATCACTTTTTTTTTTATTAGTGACTAGAGAGAGTTAGCGGGAAGGGGGGGGGGGGGGTATATTACCATAGCTGTGATTTTCGTCGATAAAATGTAATAGATTGCTTTTCAAAGAAAAAAGTGAAACTATAATATTATAATATACACTCCAAATGCATAGTTTAAAGCAAAAGCAAACAGGTTTATTCGTACCAAGTCATTTATTTTGTTCAATAATACTTTTCTGCACTCATTTTAAGTATAAAATACTGTATATTATTTGTCTCATCCAAAGTTGTTACAGTCTAATTCTGAATTCCAAACTAAATAAGAATTGAAAGAACATTATACTAATTTTACGGTTGTACCTATTTTGTTGCGTTTTTCAACAATAGATAGTTTTATGTAGAATTAAAGGTAAATTTTAGAAATTATTGAAGTCATTGTTTAAATAACAAATACCTTAGATGCATTCAAAGCAGATTATAACACTTAACATTGTCCGATGCGTCATTACCAAAATGCATGGAGTTTTGTTATCCCTCTCCTTTTCGCTCAGCTGCAGTGTTGCTCTAAGTTCAACATTTATTCTTTTCCTTTTCAAACCTTTACACCAGTAGATTTTTTTTTTTGCTAGAGCAGCGTACCTTTACTATATCTCCCAAAATGAGCCAAATTCGAAAAAATGAGATGTCCTGCATTTTGTATTTAGTAAATTACATCAAAATGAAATTTTCAAGATTTAAAGAGAGTCAAAGATGTGATACTATAGATATCTAAAGATAGGATAAACTTGGAACTTTGAACACCTTTGTTCTTTTGCCGGACTATAGACTTATGCCCTTATTCCATAAACAGGTTGGGCACAGTTCCTTTTTCGGGGAAGTGTTACTATAAAACGGGATTATTCCTCTTTTCAGTAATAAAAAATATTACTGTATACGGGAATTTTCACTCGTTTACCCTCTATTTTCGTGTTTGCTTCGAATAAAAGATTAAGTGCAAGAATATTCACATCCTCTAAATATTTATAGTCTATTAAGTGTATGTATGCTCAAAACTACAATATTTATCGCCGCAAAATGCTGAAAAAAGAGTGATAAAATATTTCTAGGATATAAATGTCTTACGGAAGCTTATCTGTGTTAAAATTGTGAGATTGAATACGTTCAGCACCTGATAACTCGTTCATGAAATTATTCGTTCTTATTTAATTTTATATCATTTCTTTCAAAGACATCGTAAAAATAATTTTTTATACCACTGCTTCTTTTACAGATGAAAATAATCATTTGAAATGTTAAATTTTAAAATATAGTCTTTCAAAGATGGTTTTAGCATGAATGCCCTTCCATACTTTTCGTATCATTTATCAACAGGGAAAATTAAAGTAAAAGTCGTGGATTACTACTGCACGTCAGTTTGAATTCCTATGCATGTTCAAAAGATGTCACCTCCACGAAACCAAGCTTTGAAATTTTCCGTTTTTGAACAAATAATAATATAACTTATTCACATCCGTTTGAAGAATACTCATGATGTCGTACGATTAAAGGTGCTTGGACACAGATTTGAAGTTGATATTTTCTCAAATTTTCTGTATAATTTCATGACTTATATGTTGCTATAGCATTTCATACTAAAATACAATAAAATTCTTATTTCATCTCGTAGTTATTGAAACTTCAAATTTCTGAACGCGTTTGATTTACACATCCTTGCACTTTCACAAATTTTAATTTTGTTCTTAATACTTAAGAAAAGTGGGAATTCTGTTGTATATTAATGAAAAATATTAAAACTATAATCCAGAAAATTCAGAGTAGAAATGTTCGAAAGCAAAACCCACTCACAGTATTGTCAGTCCATGCTCAGTGGTGTGTGCAGACTTTAACAATTGAACACACCCGGTGAATCGTAAACATTAACAATAATCGAGCTCGTGCCTTGTTTACAAAAACAGTTTACGTTTCACGGGTGTATTCAATTTGTTAAACTCTGTACACAACACTGAGCACGGGCTGACGATATCAGTGAGGGGGTTTGCTTTCGCACATTTCTACTCTGAATTTTCTGGATTAAAGATGTAATGTTTTTCATTAATACACAACAAAATCGCTTCTTTTCTTAAATGTTAAGGATAAAGATAAAATTTGTGAAAGTGCAAGGATGTGTTAATCAAACGCGTCCAGGAATTCGTAGTTCCAATAATTTCCAGATAAAATAAGTTTTTAATTATATTTTCGTGTGAAATGCTATTGCAATATATAAGTCGTGATATTATACAGAAAATTTGAGAAAATATTAACTTCAAATCTGTGTCTAAGCACCTTTAAATCTCATCTTACTCCAGTCTGCAGCACTAAAGGACCGAAATTTTGTGTCAGCGAGGTTGGTTTAATAAAGTTTAAACACATCACGTCGTAATTTTCATCCACTTTTTATTTAATAAACGGATTTGGGGCATTATTTTACAAATATGACGAAAATTCCCGTATACAGTAATGTTTTTTATTACTGAAAAGAGGAATAATCCCGTTTTATAGTAATACTTCCCCGAAAAAGGAACTGTGCCCAACCTGATAAAGGCTGCTTACTGCATGTTTTTTAAACTCCGCCCTCTTTGTTAAGGTAACCAATAGCAGGCTTAGGATTACGGGTATATGAAGTGAGTGAATGTTGCGTCGTTGTTGATATTCAAACCACGAAGAACCCGTGGAGGAAAACGCTCAGATTGGAAAGGATAAGAAGGTATCTTCTGTGTATCAGTTATTTTTCATGTCAGATAATTAATGTTCTTTGACGACTAACATGCTGTATTTAACTGTTAAAATTAGGTATACATGTAACTATCTAGTCCCATTGAACTCATCTACTAACAATGTTTTTGCGAGAAGAAAGACTTAAAAAAAAGAAAATAACAATATCTGTTCGCCTTATAGTTTTGTTTGAGTTGAATGTATGTACCACACAAAAAGACCGTGCACCTCTTTATTTTATGATCCTCATAACATGACATGACTTTTATAGTCCCCCCCCCCCCCCAAAAAAAAATGTCGGCAGTCGTTACAGTTAATTACAAGATACATGCGTGGATCCAGGAATTTTTCCAGGATAGGGTGTTCCACCCACTTAATAAAAAATGTTCTGGCTCCGAAATTTTTCTACATGATGCAAAAAAACAAACAAACAAACAAAACAAAAAAACGTTAACAACTTCGTCTAAACTCGAAGAACCTATCACGTGGGGATGGGGTGGGTGTTTACAAGCCATTTTCCTTTATATCATTTGTTTTATTCTCCATACTAACATACAAGAGTTCTGTGATTCCTTAGGGAGGGGATCCAGAGCCATTTGTGGGTTACTTTTCTGCATAAATTTAATAACTAAATATCAAAGGGGGGGGGGCTTGGACCGCTTACCCCCCTTCAAGATGCCACATGCTAAGTTGTACACATTGTATACAGTGTGATAAATTTGTACAGTACATATCCGAATTCAAAAATCAAAATGTAAATAAATCATAAATACTATGATCTTACAAAAATACCGAAGAAATTTGTATACACCTACCCCATAATCAAAATAAACAGCCCGGCCCAAGGGAGTTTTCATTTGTTTCATTAGTTATTTCTAGCATACATATACTATGGTTCAATATTAAATGAAAAAGGTTGAATAACTTTTATTAAGAATCTTTGTATCATACCAAAGCATGATTTGACATATACATAAACAGATATACTTACCATAGTTACATTCAGGTGTGATTTCTTTTGTTAATTAAAAGTGTGGGTTATGTGTACACTGAGAAATAGTGCAGAAATGGGGAAATTCATATTAATTTTCCAGTTTTACAGCTTTTCTTATGTTGATCTCACCAGTAACAGGCACGCAGTATCGGGGGAGGGGGCATTCCCCCACTTAAAAAAAAGAAAAAAAAAACAAACCAAACTAAAAAAAAACCCTTTTACTATTGAAAATGTTCATTGAAAAGCTGGTTGCCCCCGTTCCCTCCCCACTTTAATTATGGTAATTTGGGAATGAATTAATAAAATTTGGTTGCGAAAGGAAGTTGGAACCTACCCCCACGAAATAGGATATTCGAGAGTGGACAAATTTTCTTTTTTTTTTTCTTTTCTCTTTTGCTTATCAAATTTTTTTTTAGGTGAGTTGTCAAATATTTGCTGACCCCTTTCAAAAACGATAATACTTGCCTGAGTAATTAAAGATATTACTTTAGTATTGATGAGAATATTGTCTAGTAATGACATAGTTGGTATAGATCCCAATTTATAACAATCCAAGAATCTCATAACGTGGAATTTAAAAAAAGTTCTTAAATAATTTAGCTATATACAAGTATTCTTGCATATTTCCCCGTATAAATGGTTGAGAAGTGTTTTTTTTTCTCCTTGTATCGGCTGACTATGCTCAGATCTAAATCTAAAACACACACACAGCATCCCCCCCCCCCCGGGAAAGAAAGAAAGAAACAAAATAAATAAGTAAAATACAAAACAAGCTTCTAGAAAAGCGAACTATTTTTCAATTTCTATCTATTTTGCAAATAAAGGTGGAGAATATCTTGCATCGTAGTCAGTGCCATTGTCCAGAATTGAAATGTCTTCTGCCTTATATCTTACCCTTCACAGAATGGTGATCCTCTATTGTTCATATTTTTTTTCAGATGAGGTGGATTTTATGGGCATTATTTATTCTTCTTTTGCCATCAGTCATTCTTGCACAGAGCGGAAATGACGTAATAGATGCGGGTCTTGAAGCCGGTGCCGAAATAGCTCAGGCAATTAGCGAAAAGAACTTTACAGGCACTATGGAAAAGCTCAAAACAAAAACCAATCCATTTTTAAAAATGATTGGCCCTTTGATCAAAGGTGTATCCAGTCTACTTGGTCTTCAAATAGAATCTACAGAACTGAAATTTATGCGGAACATGTTGTCCAAAATAGAAAATCGATTTGATCAAGTTGACCAAAGACTGGAGGAAATCGCTCGAAAGATCGACTGGAATCGAGTAAATATCCAGTTCTTTACTTTCGAAAAGAAAATATTGGCGATGAAAATGGAGCTAGACAAATTTTTCAATGCAAGTAGTGACAGTGAGTTTTCGAGCATATCAGACACTTTTCTTAAAATGTATGAATGTGTGTACGAAAACAGCGCCCAGATGTTGTACAGACATATAGTATCCCATGAATCAACTTTCTCAAGTAACATTTTGACGGAGGCAATGCGGGCGAACGAATACAATCGACGTGATGTACAGGCGTTCCTGTTAGGGTTAAGTAAGCTAGTAATTGTAGGAGCCGAGATCGAGATTGCATACTACAGTCAAAAGCTTCCTACGTACCTCGATGCACATGAAAATAAGTGGATAACTCAAATAAATAACATGAGAGAAGCAATGGAAAAATTAGATATTGTGATCGAGACAAACTTCATGGAAGTCGCTACAGAAGATGCAAAAAAGATTCTTGCACACAGCCGAGGCAAATCGAATGTAATTGTGGCAAACGAGATTTTTGGAAAATTAATGGATAAATTCTACTGGCGCTACTGGTTTGTTGCAGTCTATGGCGATATTAAAGAACACCACGTCTGGCTGTGCAACGAAACTGCAACCTCGATCTTCCACTTTAGCGGATTTAACTTGTTGTTGGCGAGTACTCCTGAGGATACCACGTCTTTGGATATCACTGCCGCCCAAAGTGCCCTGAGACAGGCCCAAACCCAAAAGAAGGGGTGGTGGTTTGCCAAGAAAACCATGAACGCCCGAGAGGTTTCCGACAGCGTCAAGATCGATAAAACTTGTAGCAAGTACTCCGGGTTAGCTGTAGTGAGGCTCACAACCAATGTTGCCACGAAGTTCTCCAAGAAAGACTATTTAGTGAAAGAACAGAAAAACCCGTACGGCTTGTTTCTTTTCCGCTAGTTGAGTTTTGCTAAAATGTGATTCCTGCGATTAAATATTTGTTGCTTCAATTATAATGTTACAACAGTTACTGTAAAAAAAAAAACAAAACAAAACAAAAAAAAAAAACAAGAATTTGATTTAAAATGCATCTGAAATAATAAAGCATTTAAAGAATTTACTTGCAAGCATCTTAATCAATGTATTATGTTTTATGTGAGCAATGAAAAAAAATCTATTCAGGACAGATGCTAGAAACAAACTTTCTTCAAAAATCATGAAATCCATGTTTAAAAAGTAAAATGAATAGATTTAAAATGTCACAATAATGTCCTATACAGTGCTAACAATTGTATACATGTAGATTTTTATGAGTGACGAAAAAAAAACCCATAGCATTTTAAACATCGTAGAAACTTTAGAAATGAAATATATGGAGATAACGAACAGTATTCAAGTTCAAAAGTCCATTAAACAATACAAAATAGGAGCAGAGCAAACACGGACCTTCAAAACAGCAGAGGTGGGATCAGGTGCCTTGGAGGAGTGAGCATCCCCTGCCGACCGGTCACACCCGCCGTGTGCTCCTTGTCATGATCGGGAAATAACGAAAAAATCCGTCGTCAATTCAGTGTATAAATAATGGCCTAAGTCATTTAAAAGATATAATATATATATATATATATATATATATATATATATATATATATATATATATATATATATATATATATATAACAGTCTAGCCATTGATTTTTTGTACGTATCATCTCACATCTGTCCTTAATGGCACTCAAAATATAGATCATAAAGCCTGTATATGTTGGTCTCTTCTTCTTCTCTCTGAGTATCGAATCCTTCAGAAATGTATAGAATGTCCCACTACAGTTTTCATCTTGGTCCTGTTATTTGACCCAGACCATATCTAAAGGATACGGAATGTTACAACACGAAAAGTAATAACAACGCAAAATGTTATAAATCGGGATTATTGCATTTTGCGTTATTACATTTTGCGTCGTTATCAACGCAGAATGTAATAACGCAAAATTTAAAAACAGACTTTTATGATTATTACATTTTGCGTTATTACATTTTGAGTCAAGATCAATGCAAATTGTAACAAAGCAAAATGTGATAACACGATTTTGGGATTATTACATTTTGCGTCGAGATTAAGCAAAATGCAACATCACAAAATGTAATAACACACTTTTTGGTCAGTAAGGTGGATAATAATTTTCAATTGAATAGTGGATTAAGAAAATAAACGGAAAGAAAATAAAACAAAAGGAAAAATAAACATACATGTATGCTAATTTTTACTTTAGATCTGATTTCATCGTATATTGATTTCATAAGCCATTTATAGGCTAATCAGGTGATTTTCAAATCATAGATGATGCAAATTACAAACGTACGTGCGCACGTGTGTTTATGTATAAGGATGTGTGTGTGTGGGGGGGGGGGGGGGGGGATTTCGTTTATCAGTGTATCAGATTGCTTTTGCTTTTTGATAGGCACGTGCATGAAATTTAGAAAAAAATTCTATTTACTTTTACTGGCAGGTGTAAATATAGCGGGGAGATGGTTTCTTGACAATTAAGATTTCATGCTGTTTTACAAATCACGCGTGCATTGCAGACCAGCAAAAATGAACCTCTCTCTCTTTCTCTCCAATAATAAAATGGATAGTTTCTGCATGCGCATAAAAATACAATGATCAACAGACGAAGTAACCCCCACCCCCGCTTCTCCTTGCCAGACACACACACATAGTTTTCTCACCGATGTACACTGCAAGTCGTTCATGCAGATGAAGAGCTTTAAAGGTGCTTGGACACAGATTTGAAGTTAATATTTTCTCAAATTTTCTGTATAATTTCATGACTTATATGTTGCTATAGCATTTCGTACTGAAATATAATAAAAATCTTATTTCATCTCGAAGTTATTAAAACTTCGCATTTCTGGACGCGTTGGATTGACACATCCTTGCGCTTTCACATATTTTAATTTTATTCTTAATACTTAAGAAAAGTGGCAATTTTGTTGTGTATTAATGAAAAATATTAAAACTATAACCCAGAAAATTAAGAGTAGAAATGTTCGAAAGCAAAACCCACTCACCGTAAGTATTGTAAGTCCGTGCTCAGTGGTGTCTCCAGAGTTTAATAATTGAACACACCCGGCGAATCGTAAACATTAACAATAACAGAGCTCGTGCCCTGTTTACAAAAACAGTTTACGTTTCACGGGTGTGTTCAATTTGTTAAATTCTGTACACATCACAGAGCACGGACTGGCAATACTGGGGAAGTGGTTTTTGTTTTCGAACATTCTACTCTGAATTTTCTGGATTATAGATGTAATATTTTTCATTAATACACAACAAAATCGCTTCTTTTCTTAAATATTAAGGATAAAGTTAAAATTTGTGTAAGTGGAAAGGTGTGTTAATCAAACGCGTCCCGAAATTCGTAGTTCCAATAATTTCCAGATAAAATAAGTTTTTAATTATATTTTCGTGTGAAATACTATTGCAATATATAAGTCGTGGTATTATACAGAAATTTTGAGAATATATTAAGTTCAAATCTGTGTCTAAGCACCTTTAAATGGACCCAAGGTTAATCCTTGGTAATTGAGAATATTAGTGATGGATATATAATACAAACTGCTTTATAAATAGACATGTCAATCAAAGTTAAGTTAATGTTGTTATATATATTAAAAAAAAAATGCTAGAAATAGAGTTAAAAAGAATATACAATTAGATTTAGTAATAGAGATTGTTCTATCTCACGTATCCGTATAAGTATCCGTATCCGTATACGTATCGAAGTACGATAGGCATCCCGATCCCGAGGTGTGAACTATATAAAATTTCCATCTTTATTTGTTTGCAATTTAAATTATTAAACAATTGAATTTAAAAGAAAACTTTTATACTTAATTTCACTTTGTAGTAATTTTTTTCTCCAAAATTGATTGGGGTGTCAAGCAGCTTCATATTACATTTTAAATTAGAAAAAAACCATGATATCTCATTTCCCAATGAATGGGTCTGCTTTAAAATCATTAAAATATTTATCCCCCCTCTCTCTCTCAATACCAGGACATTTATTGTTTCATTTTCTTATTTACCTTAAGCATTACATAGCATTCCAATTGCCCCCCCCCCCCCAATCCCCACTCTCCAGTCTTTTGGTGAAATAAAGAATGAATTGTTTTTAAATTTATAACATACACTCTAATTTCGGACTGTTAAAAATTGGTGGCTTTCCTTTCGTTAACCCACATATCTAGATAGATCTGTGTGCTTGTTTTATCAAATCGAGTAAAACTACAGCCGAGAGAGTAACCCCGACAATATACTGTGTAATTCTTTTCATTGAACTTTTCGGTTGGGTAAGCGCGAAGGACTGGCAATTCCACGAGATTTGTGAGTCGAACAACTAGAAGAAACATCATGGCAACACGGAATGGTAAGTTGAAAATAATGCTATTTTAGAAATTTCATTTCCTTTTTCAATGTTAGGAACTATTATATAATTATTATAGAATTTCAAATCACAGTGCACATTCACATAACTCTTTTTTTTTAACAGAGAAAAGAAAAAATCACCGATTTTCGAAACAAGAGGTTCTTCTTATTTTACGAAGCTATCTCATCCATCCTGCTGATTTTGAGTCCATTTTGGAAGAGATTAAGGCAAATGTCAATCAGTTCGGCGCGGACATTCGCGAGATGTATAAAAAGGAAGATGAAAAAAGGCTGCTTCAGCGCATTAGAGAGAAATTTCATATAATAAGGAAAACATGCACACGGAAAAAGACTCAGATATCAGGTATGATAATTGATCAGCATTTTTTCTGAGCTTTGATCCCATTATCCATAAACTTCTATTGATTCTTAATTTTTTTTTAAAATGTCAGGATAAGTCATACAAATCCAAATACTTCAGTCATTATTTAATCATAAAACATGTAGTTTAGAGTCTGATAAAATATATAAATCATAACATTTCATTTTTCTAACGATGTGTATCATTTGTTTATAGACAATGTCTTGAGGAAATTGCAAAATTGGAGAAAAGATATAATAGCTCTAATTCCTCCGTGAACCCCCCTTCATCTTCTTCCATCAGTCCCCCCTCGACAAAAACCACATCTTTAGAAAATTCATGTCAACTCTCGGGCACTAGGAACCCCAGGGAATTGACCCGGCCTACCTTCTCAGGAAATACCATACCAATGACCAGCTCTACAGGGAACTCGGATTACTCCCGACCATCAACCAGCTCTTTGGGGAATCCCCGGCCATCGACTTCGTCCTCAGGGAGTCGCCAACATAATGAAGAGGATACTGGAGAAGATGAGGATCAAGATGTAGAGGACATACGGCTCCAGTGGGCTCGCGAAGATGCCGTAGAATGTGAGAGGGTTAGAAAACGAAAAAAATCCAAACAAAAGAAAGTAAAGAAATCTCGTTCTACTAAAGAATTAATTAGAGAGAACAAAAAGCTGAAAAACAAACTTTTGACTTATTTATATAAGAATAAGAACAAACTAGTAGATGTAAGTTCTGAATCGTCAACAAGTTCAGAGTCTGATTAGACAAACTTGCTCATATATATATATATATATATATATATATATATATATATATATATATATATATATATATATATATATATATATATAAACTTTATTACTTAATTAAAGCTTTGTTGATAAAACACGTGTCTTGTTTGAAAAAAAGGGGGGTAAATGTATGCCATGAAGAAAACTGTTAAAATAAATTAGACATTGAACAAATAAAATGACACGAGAGAGAGAGAGAGAGAGAGAGAGAGAGAGAGAGAGAGAATATAACATTTCATGACATATTTCGATAAGTGATATGGCATTTTCTCTTTATATCGTATTTTTCTAGTTATTTTATTGAATATGAAAAATAGGTCCCTCTTTTTGAAGCTAAACAAATTAATTCTCACAGATATTAGCCGTCTGCAAATAACAAAGAATTTAATTGGAGTGACTCTAAACACTACACACGAAAGAGTATGATTTCAAAGTAATTTAAGCTGTAAGCTTAGAGTGACCT